CCCACACTGTACGTACAGAGGGAACACTGTCACCCACACTGTACGTACAGAGGCATGACTGTCACCCACACTGTACGTACAGAGGCATCACTGTCACCCACACCGTACGTACAGAGGCATCGCTGTCACCCACACTGTACAGACAGAACATTGTAACACACACTGTACAGAGGGGAAGGTATAACTGAAATTGTAAATGCCTCCTGTTGATAAAATGGACTTTTCAAATTAACAAAGATTTGAAAAAACATTTGATTTGATGTGTCATTTGGTGAATATTTTTCCATATTACAGATCCTAATGGCAGAGATTTTATCGAATAACTTACAGCAATAAAGTAAAACTCTGTTGATGCCGGAAATTTAAAATAAAAACAGACAGTGCTGAAGACAGACGCTCAGCACATCCAGCAGCATCTGTGGAGAAGAAATGGAGTTAACGTCTTGAGTCCCATTTGAAGTTCTCAGGAAGTACCACTAGACTTGCAATGTCAACTCTGTTTCTCTCTGCAGATGCTGCCAGACCTGCTGAGTTGCTCCAGCACTGTCTGATTTGAACTGTACAGTGCTTCTCTGTGCCATCTCCAGTGAGACATAGAGTCAATAATGGATTAAGCCTGATTTTAAATGAACTCTAACAGCAGATCATCAAGCACCAACTCATTTTTCAATGAGAAACATATCGACTTACAGGAGGACCAGGTGGTCCCTGTATTCCTGCTTCACCTTTAGGACCTGTCAGACCCTGTAAGGAAGTAAATAAGAACTAGTTATCAGAAATATCGAGAGGCTCCTACATTGTGGAGATTTTGCCTTTCATTCTAAGTATTTATGTTATTGCAGAGGGTCTCCTGGTACTGTGGCAGTGTACCTACTGCTGGGCTAGATGGGGCAGGTTCAAACAAGGCAAGAATGAGAGGAGCAAAAAAAAGTTGCTGGAAAAGCTCAGCAAGTCTGGCAGCATCTGTGAAGGAAAAAACAGAGTTAACATTTTGGTTCCAGTGACCCTTCCACAGAACAGTTCTGAGGAAGGGTCACCGGACCTGAAACGTTAACTCTTGTTTTCTCCTTCACAGATGCTGCCAGACCTGCTGAGCTTTTCCACGACTTTGTTTTTGCTCCTGATTTACAGCATCCGCGGTTCTTTTGGTTTTTATTAAGAATGAGAAGAGATCTAATTGAGGTCTATAACATACTGGGAGAGATTGACAAAGTAGACGTAGAGAGGATGATTCCTCAAGTGAGGCAATCTAGAACGAGAGGTCATAGTTTTCAGATAAAGGGTAGCAGATTTAAAACAGAAGCAAGCAGGAATTACTTCTCTCAATGGGTCATGAACCTGTGAAATTCACTACCGTGGTCTGCCTTAGGACACTGTATACATTTAAGGAAGAAATGGACAGATTTTTAATTAGTAATGGGTTGAAGGTTTATGGAGTGTGGGCAGGAACGTGGAGTTGAAGCTGAGATGAGATCAGCCATGAGTGTATTAAATGGCAGAACAGCCTCGAGGGGCTGAATGGCCTCCTCCTGCTCTTTGTTCTTATGTTCAAGTCCGTCCTGCCTTGCAGGTGTGTGTCACAACACTGTTTAAGCAGGTTGATTTAATTGACTGTACACTGCTGCAGATCAGTATGGTAGGTTCACTGCTCCTTAAACAAGCTATGTTACTACCAGAACAGCACCAGAACCCTGGCTGAGTTACTTGAAGAAGGGTCTAGGCTTTCCTGCTCCTCTGATGCTGTGTTCATCCAGCTCTACACCTTGTTATCTGAGTTACTTGGTCATTGTTTTGAACTCAATGGGGCAGTCCCAATTATTCTCGGAGCATCACTGCACTGTCCAGCTTCTCAGTCTGTCTCTAATTTTCAATCAGATCTTGGTTGACTTGAATCTTAACTCCATTTTCCCGTTTTTGCTCCATATCCCTCGATCCCCTTACCCAACAAATATCAAGCAATCTCAGTCATTGACTGGAACTGACTTCCAGGTTCCAGTTTTTTGGGGGATAGAGAGAGAGAGAGAGAGGGAGAGAGATAGAAATTCACATTCATCTCTCCTTTGCATTGGAAAAGGATTCTTGCTCTTACTCCTGAGTGAACCCCTGAACTCTGCCAGCCCCCAAAAGGCGAAAGTTTCTCTTCACTGATTCTCTCGATGGTTTTAAAGACTCTGATTGAATCACCCACACGAAATTTCATACTGGGGAGAATACAACCCATACCTGTGCAGCCTGTTTTCATAGTTAACTCTTTAAACCACGGTATTGTTCCGGTGAAACTGTGCTTAGCCTATTAATCAGAGCGGAGTGGCTAGGGGCTGGAGCAGAGCAGACTGGGGACCGGAGTAGAGTGGGCTGGGCTGGGGGCTGGAGCGGAGTGGGCTGGGGACTGGAGCGGAGTGGGCTGGGGTTCACTCAGGAGTAAGAGCAAAATGGTTGTTGGACTGGAGGCTGGTGAGGGTGGTCAGGAACTTGTGAGCCTGGTCGGACCATGTGTGGAAGAGCCCTGCGCTGATCTACTGCAACATAATGTTTATCTGTAATCTGTTTATCTGACTGTAATGTTTATCCTTTTAACTTTATTTCTTACTTTCTAACTTACACTATGAATCACTGTAAAGTAATGTAACTTTTTTTTTCTCTATTTTGTACCTAAGATTTGTACCTAGGTACTTTGTAGATAAGATGGTGCAGTGAGGGGTAACACTGTAAACTTTTCACTGTACTTCTGTACTTGGGTACGCATGACAAGAAACTTAATTCTAATTCTAAAGAAACAACCTCTCTGCCTGGTCAGCCTTATGTGAAGAAATTTCATGGTCCTATATGAATAGAAACGAGGGATTTCTCACAGTTTCCTGATCAATATTTATTCCTCTAATGCCACCAGCAAGCAAGTTTGTGGGAGTTTGCTGTCTACAGATTACATTTGTGCACACAGACAGGTTGTTATACCAGGGAGTCCAGAACTAGGGGGTCAAAGTCTAAGGACATGGGGTAGGCCATTTAGGACTGAAATGAGGAGAAATGTCTTCACCCAGAGTGTGCAGAGCCTGTGGAATTCTTTGCCATAGAAAGTGGTTGAGGCCAAAACATTGAATGTTTTCACGAAGGAGTTAGATATAGTTCTTAGAGCTCAAGGGATCAAAGGGAATGGGGAGAAAACAGGAACAGGGGACGAAATTGGACGATCAGCTGTGATCCTGTTGAATGGCAGAGCAGGCTTGAAGGGCTGAATGGCCTCCATCTGTTCCTAGTTTCTATATTTCTGTGCTTCATGTGCATTAGCAGAATGTCCCTGAACCCCAACTCGATCACTGTCTGAACTATCGAGAAACGTACTCACAGTGGAACCTTTAGAACCTTTAGGACCAGGTGGACCCTGAAAAACAAATGCAAGAGTTAGTTTATTAATTGGTTAATGGGTTTTCAAACAATATCAGGAGCTAGATACAGCAAGGTGTAAGAAAAAAATGTACTGGCTCATTTCAAATTGAAGAAATCAGCTGGGGGTCATTGGCCAACCAAGCTTCAGTCGGCTAATTCTCAGAGGCATCTGTTTTATTGACAAATAAATGAGGTTGATCAAAGTAATAATTAGAAAGATTTTCTTGATTTACTTGGTATTTCAGACCCTTGATTCAGAAAACTTCAGAGGTTGGGGGATTTCCCTTTCCGAAGACTTGTAAGTTCAATGTGGCCTCTCTTGCAATGTTCTCTTGACACAAGCAGCTCTACAAAGCAATTTAGATGAGATCAACCCTCACACCCACCACACTCCACCCTCCACCCCAAGCTGAGGCGTACACTAAGTGAGATGCTGAATGGTACATGTAGAAATGCAAAGTTTATTAATCTCACATGAAGTTCCCCCATCAATAACTCTTCATACAGAAACCAATTTGAAACTTTTCATTAGACTTACATGCAGGCAGCATTTGTTTCATATTCCTTTCAATTATGGAGAAATACATTAATTATATTCATCTCTAGTTAATGAAGTAGTAATCATTGTTTTGATAGATTTGGTAAATTAGACATGAAGTAAATTAAACCAGTAAAAAGCATGTGGTGTAAGTTCTAGTCCTCAGGCTTTATAACCCTGGAGAGGCTAAAATCCTGCTTCTGTTTCTGAGGGGGCACCATGATTCTGAAATTGGTGAAAATGTTGGCAGTCTAAAACTGTTTGTCAGGAGACCACACTCACGGCTCTTAGAAGATGCAAGATTCTTGGTCAAAGGCAGCTTGATTTTGATTTTGATTTTATTGTCATGAGTACAGGGGGTCTGATAACGGCCAGAAAGAAGCTGTTCCTGAACCTGCTTGTGCGTGTGTTCAGGCTTCTGTATCTTCTGCCTGACGGAAGAGGTTGTAGGAGATCATTACCAGGGTGCGATGGGTCTTTGATGTTGGTCGCCTTTCCGTGGTAGCGAGCCGTGTAAATTGAGTCTGTGGATGGGAGGTAGTTGGATGGGATACTCTTCCAGTGAGAGGGACAGCCTGGAGATGGTGTGCTGGCTCTTCAAAGACAGCTTTTTAAATCAAGTCTTTCTCAATTGAGCAGCTTTGATTTTCTGCCCATTTGAAGAGGCTCCAAACATCCCCAAACCTGCCTTAAAGCACTACTTTGGAAAATGATTCATGCAACGGATTGGCAAAGATGTGAAAACATTTGATCAACATTGGACAATTAACTGACTAGTTTCTGTCATATTTGATACTTGCCGTTAATCCAGGAGGACCTGGAGGACCAATTGGACCAGATTGACCTTGGACACCCTGGAAGAGATAGACATCGATTGTAAGATTTGATTGGCTATGTAATGTTGTGGACTCATAATCCCGATTCAAATCCTACTGTCACTACTTTGAAAATTTCAGTTCAGTTTTAAAACTCAGCAAATAAAACTATATTAAAATTGGTATAAGTGACCATGAAGCTGTCAGATTGTTACAAACATCCCTTTGTCATCAATGTCCATTTGGGAAGGAAACTTGCTGTCCTCAGTGACTGTATGTGACTCTTGACTCATGCTGACTTGGGTGACCCCCAGTGACCACTCAGTTGTGTCAAACTTCTAGCAGCTTAAGCAGATAGTTCTCAGAACTTTCTCAAGACAACTAGATCGGACACTGAATGCTGGTAATTCCCACAGTCCAGAAATGGATAAAAAGAATCATTCTAATCTGTGTTCAATTCCAACAACATCACTATAGGGCTGCTCTCTCATCAGAGAGAGAGAGAGACGTCTGATGGTGGTTTAACCTGACGTTCACTACACCTCAGGTGATGGGTTGGGATGAAAAATGCTTTATGGTAACTTCAGCCAGAGTAGGAAATAGCGAGACTCTGCATTACAAAGCAGCCATCCAGCCAATTGAGCTAACCAATCCCTGAGATCAACACCAATAAAATTCAACTGGTTCTCCAGTAAAGAAGAATGTGTTTTGGATGAATCTGGCCTCTCAGGTACTTTGTTAGATGTTTCCTCCTGAGTTGGGTCCAATGTGAACAGTATAGGTGATAGATAACAATGGTTGGTCACCTCACTCAATGCTTACCGTGTCTCCTTTTGGACCTTGAGGTCCCTGAGGTCCTGGGATGCCTCGGTCACCTTTCTCACCCTGTTCTCCTGGAGGCCCAATCAAACCAATCAAACCAGGATGTCCCTGAAACACATGATATACAGTCACCAATCAACTTACACCCCAGCCCGAAGACAGTTCAATTCATGCTGACAATCTTTGACCAGTCAATCTTTGAGAATTACAAAGAACAAAGAAAATTACAGCACAGGAACAGGCCCTTCGGCCCTCCAAGCCTGCGCTGAATTATCTCTTATCATTGAGCTTGCTGAACTTCAATAGAACTTGGTTTAATGAAGGATTAGTTTTAAAAATTTCCACCCTTATTTTCAAATCCCTCCATGGCCTCACCCTTTCCTATCTCCATAAACCACAATCCTCCTTCCCCAATTCCCATTGGGGCCATACCTTCACCTGCCTGGACCCCAAACTCTGGAATTCCCTCCATAATCCTGTCTGCCCCTCTCCTCCTTGGTCCACCCATCCTAACAAATCCTTATGAGTGTCGGTGCCACATTTCAGCCTGCCTCATGGCACGTTTAAAGGACAGTGTTCACACTTGGGGAAGGAAGGACTCTCATGCACAATCATAACTCCCACTACTTTCTCAGTGGATGAGGCTTCAGGTACAACTGCAAAACATACCTTCTCACCCTTTGTACCAGGGTCACCTTTGAGGCCGGGCAATCCGGGAGGACCCTAAAAAACACAGTAAGATGTCACTGTCACCATGATCCTCACTACCTGCAGGTGAAATAAAATGTAACTTTGTTGACTACAAACCATTGGGCCTGGTGGTCCTGTTGGACCAGGGGGGCCTGGCAAACCTTGCTCGCCCTAAATTTAATCAAAAAAGAAAGAGTGTTAAACAGATCTATAGAGACAAGAGTGAGTTACTGAATTACACAGATTGTTAACAAATAAAATTGTGTTAGTCTGAAGGGGAATCATACTTACAACAGGACCTGGAATCCCTCGCAGCCCCTCGGAGCCTGGCTTACCTGGAGATCCTTGTGGACCAACTGGGCCAGTCTTACCTGCAGGACCTTCAGCACCAGGGTCACCCTGAGAAGAATGAGAGACGTCGTCAAGGTTCAATGACCGTTGCCACATAAGACATAAGTCTGGGAGAAGACCATTCAATAAGATCATAAGACCATAAGATATAAAGAGCAGGATTAGGCCATTGCCATCAGGTCTGCTCCACCATTCAATCATGGTTGATATTTTTCTTGACTCCATTCTCCTGCCTTCTCCCTGTAAACTTTGATCCCCTTACTAATCAAGAACCTATCTATCTCTGTCTTAAATACACTCAATGACTTGGCCTCCACATCCCTCTGCAGCAATGAATTCCATAGAATCACCACTCTCTGGTTGAAGAAATTCCTCCTCATCTCAGTTCTAAAGGGTTGTCCCTTCACCCTGAGGCTGCAAACTCAGGTCTTAGTCTCTCCCACTAGTGGAGACATCTTCTCCACTTTATCCAGGCCTCTCGGTATTCTGTAAGTTTCAAACTGATTTCCCCCATATCCTTCGAGACTCCATTGCGTACAGACCCAGGGTCCTCATATGACAAGCCCTTCATACCCAGGATCATTGTTGTAAACCTCCTCTGGACCCCTCCCAACACCAGCACATTCTTCCTTAGATATGGGGCCCAAAACTATCCACTATCTCTTCTTTGTCTAACTTGCTCATTACCTAGCTGATCATGGCTAATTCTGAACTCCACTCTCCCACATGTTCCCAATATCCTTCAATTCCCTGAGAATCTTTCCCAGCCTTAAATGTGTTCAATGACTCAGCAGTCCAGCCTTCAGGATAGAGAATTCCAAAGATTCACAACCCCGAGTGAAGACGTTCCTCCTCATCTCAGTCCTAGGTATTTGACCTTTTCTCCTGAGCATGTGATCCCATTTTCAAAAGGCATAGGGAGAAAGCTGGAACAGGATACTGAGTTGCACGATCAGCAATGTTCATATTGGTTGACATTGCAGTCTCAAAGGACCAAATGGCCTACCTGCTCTTATTTTATATGTTTCTAGATACCTCAAAGTGGGGAAACAGTCTCTATCTACCATATCAAGCTGCTTCAGAATCTTAAATGGATCTGAAAGAACCGTGGGTGCTGTAAATCAGAAACAAAAACAGAAGTTGCTGGAAAGGCTCAGCAGGTCTGGCAGTATCTGTGGATAGAAAATCAGAGTTAATGTTTCTCAATTCTGAGGAAGGGCCACCGGACCCCGAAATGTTAACTCTGATTTTCTCTTCACAGATGCTGCCAGACCTGCTGAGCTTTTCCAGCAACTTCTGTTTTGTTTAAACTTCAGAATCTTGTATTTTTCAATGAGACCATCTCTCATTCTTCTAAATTTCAGAGAATATCGAGACATCCCTTATTGGAACCAGTCTGGTGAGCAATCTCTGAACTGTCTCCAAATGAAGTGTATCTTTTTAAGGTTTTGGAGTAGATTTGTAGCTCGGGTTGTGGGTGTTGAGGTTGGTTGGCTCGCCGAGCTGGTGTGTTGTTCCACAGACATTTCGTTACCGTGCTTGGTAACATCCATTGCAACGGACCCCAGAGTTTAAAAGCCAGGCGGGAAAACACACCGACGCTTCATCAGAGGCTAAACTGAGGATGTTACCAAGCACGGTAACGAAACGTCTGTGGGACAACAAACCAGCTCGGCGAGCCAACCAACCTCAACGAAGTGTATCTTTGCTGAGACATGGAGACCAAAACTGCTCATAGTCCTCCAGTTGTGTGGTGAAGAAAGCTCAATAATATCATAGCACGACTGCATTATTTCTGTACACCAATTCTCAACAATAAACTGTGTGATGGTGTAGCTTGGTATAAAGACAGAGTAAGATGTATAGCTGCATGAATCATTAAAAGTTGGCAGGACAGCTAGAGGAGCTGTTAATGAAACAAATAATTTTCCAGGATTCATTAACGTCAGGGTCAGTTCAGGTCAGCACTGAGGGAGCGCCGCACTGTCGGAGGATCAGTGCGGACGGAGCACCGCACTGTCGGAGGGTCAGTGCTGAGGGAGTGCCGCACTGTCGGAGGGTCAGTGCTGAGGGAGTGCCGCACTGTCGGAGGGTCAGCACTGAGGGAGCGCCGCACTGTCGGAGGGTCAGCGCTGCGGGAGTGCGCACTGTCGGAAGGTAAGTGCTGAGGAAGTGCTGCACTGTCGGAGGGTTAGTGCTGAGGGAGTGGACACTGTCGGAGGGTCAATGCTGAGGGAGTGCAGCACTGTCACAGGGTCAGTGCTGACGGAGTGCCGCACTGTCAGAGGGTCAGTGCTGAGGGAGCGCCGCACTGTCGGAGGGTCAGTGCTGAGGGAGCACTGCACTTTCGGAGGGTCGCATTGAGGGAGCGGGCATTGTCGGACGGTCAGTGCTGAGGGAGTGCCGCACTGTCGGAAGGTCAGTACTGAGGGAGCGCTGCACTGTCAGAGGGTCAGTGCTGAGGGGGTGCCGCACTGTCGGAGGGTCAGTGCTGAGGGCGTGCCGCACTGTTGGAGGCTCAGCGCTGAGGGAGCACCGCACTGTTGGAGAGTCAGTGCTGAGGGAGTGCTGCACTGTCGGAGGGTCAGTGCTGAGGGAGTGCCGTACTGTTGGAGGGACAGTGCTGAGGGTGTGCTGTACTGTTGGAGGGTTACTACTGAGGGAGCGCCGCACTGTCGGAGGAACAGTGCTGAGGGAGCGGTGCACTGTTGGAGGGTCAGTGCTGAGGGAGTGCTTTTGGTCAGAGCCAGTTTGGAGCACTGTTTATGTCATTACAGTTTGAAAAGAAACCCCAGCGTTTACACCTGTCCAGCATCAATTTGCCAGAATGAGAGCTGGGCCCAAGAGACTGTGTTGTAATAACAGTTCATGTAAATGTTGTGAATAATCCCTGGACGTTAGCAGATTAAACTGGATTTGATCAAAGTGTTTTAAAATAATGGTGGGAATTGACAAAGTTTAGTGGGCTGCAATACTTGGCTAGTTGACTTGCCCAGAAGAAGTGTTTGAAGATACAAATACAGTTGACAGATTGATGTACACACTTGTGTTTGAACCTGCTAATTCCATGGACACAATCCCGACGTGTTTAAAAGGGGATGCAGAATGACTTGTTAAAGGATTGTGTTCTCAATGTGGTGATATGGCATGAACCTGGGTTAATGAGATCAGACCACCCGGGTTCACTGGAGTAATGCAGCTTGTACAATCGTCAGAGAGCTGACTGTGATTCTCTGTGTCACGTACCTTTGCTCCTTTCTCTCCTTGTCTCCCCTCAGGACCTGCAGGACCATGAGGACCCTGAACAACACAAAAGAAAAACTTTGCAAAGGCATTGTCTTTAACAGAAGAAGCAATCACAGACTTTGAAAATACTCAGAATTTATTGGTGTATGTTTGAGAGAGAGAGAGTGTGTGTGTGTGCACACGCACGCAAGTCTGTGTAAGAGCATTTATGTGCACGTGCATGTGTGTCTGTGTGTGCATGTGTGTGTGTGTGTGCATGTGTGTCTGGTTGTGCATGTGTGTCTGTGTGTGCAAATGTGTCTGTGTGTGCATGTGTGTCTGTGTGTGCATGTGTGCCTGGTTGTGCATGTGAGTGAGAGTGTATATACGTATGTTTGCATGTGTGAGAGAGTGTGTGCATGTGCGTGTGAGTGTGAGCGTGTGTGTGTCTGTGTGTGTGAGTGTGTGTGTCTGTGTGTGTGTATATGTGTGTGCATGTGTTACAAGGATTGATGGATGTTTGTGTGTGTGATTGTCTGTGAACGTGCCCTATGTGAGTATGTGTTGCAGGGATACTGTTGGTTATGTGTGCACGTGTGCTTAATGAGTTGCAGAGATAATGTTGGTGTGTTCATACTCACCCTCTTTCCTGGAGGACCAGGTGGTCCTGCTTCACCAGTTGGACCAGGAGAGCCCTAGAAATAGAAAGGTGACATCAGAACCTTCCGTCCTGTCACGAATGAACAGCTCACAGGAATCTGGGCCAATCATATGGCCACACTCTGACACATTCCCCGTCTCCATCACGAGCAATCCCTTCCAGCCCCAAAATCTCCAGCCCTAAGTTTTGTTCAAACAACAAGCCAAAAGATTTTTCTTGGTCCTTCAGTCTGGAAATCAATTTTCTCACTGGGGTTCTTCTTTCTGAATATTTTTGCCTGGATTTTGGTCCAATAATGGTGTCCTTTCCCTCAGCCCATGACACCTTCACCCTCTCTGCCATCTTCGTTTGATTGACACAGTGCGAGTAAATCCATGACCGTCCACCTTCAGTTTGAATTCGGGGCACTCAGTCTGGCTTTCCCATCCCTAATGCAGGGTCAGTGAGACTGCTCCCCCCCGATAATGTCCAGTTTAACGTCCTCTGCTCTCAGCAGCATTGTATCTCACTTCAATTGCTGACCTCTCATTTATCCAAACCTCCATCAAGCCTAACCCTAACCCTATCGCAAGCAATGTCCTTTCTCAACTTACAATCTGTCCTGGTTCACCATCTTCTCCCTTGTCTCCTGGAGGTCCATCTTGGCCCTGTGGTGAAAGAAAGGCCTCGTTATGAGGGGCTAGTGGCTATTTCATATCCTTTAACGCTATTCAGAGTATTTGTCATCTCCAACACTAGGACAAGGTCTTTTTAATAATTAATACCATGAAATTCAGAACATCAATCACAAAAGGAAAATATAGATTACAAACTATAATATCCAATTATTGTGGCACTTTTAAGCTGGGAGACTGGATTCATTCTCTGAAAGGGTTTATAATGACCAATTGCATTGATTATGCTACTAAACAGCATTTCTCCATTAACTAAAACTATCTTAACCTTACCGGAGGTCCTGCTTCACCAGGGGGACCGGGGTCACCAGGGAAACCAACTGGTCCCTAAGGAAAACAGGAGAAAAAGCAAAATATTAGTGATAGCAGATCTAAGTGAGGAGAAAGAGAGGAGAGAGTCTGCAGCAGGTAAAGTGCCAGGGGGGTTCTGCATTTGGATAAAACCCCTTTGATTGTGGTAGGGAGACATCAGTTTGACAGTCACAGGTCATGTAGAGCAGGGATGTCCCATTGCAGTTATAAAAGGGCCTCAGTAAGAGCAGTACAGTTATAATCTCCCTGTCTAAGAAAGGGTATACTCTCCACAAAGGGAGAGCAGCGGATGTTCACTTGGCTGATACTGGGGATGACAGGACTGTCCTAGGAGGAAAGGTTGGTTTGACTGAACCTGTAGTCACTGGAGTTTAGAATGATGAAAGGGAATGTAATTGAAACCTATAAATCTCCCACAGGGCTGGATGTGGGGAGGAAGTTATCCCTGGATTGGGGAGTCTGGAACCAGGGAACACAGTCTCAGGATACAGGGTAGACCATTTGAGATTGAGATGAGTCAACACTTCTTCACTCAGAGAGTGGGGAACCTGTGGAATTCACTACCACACAAGGCGTGGAGGCCAAGTCGCTGAATATATTCAAGAAAGAGACGGATACTGTTTTTAGATGTTAAAGACATCAAGAGGTATGGGGGGGAAGTGGGGATTGTGGCATTGAGATAGAGGATTAGTCGTGATCATATTGAGTGGTGGAGCAGGCTTGAAGGACTGAACGACCTACTGCTGTTCCTAGATTCTATATTTTTATGGGACTGGATCTTACCACAGTAAGAGGGCGGGGGATGGGGGAGAAGCAGAGACAGAACAAGCTCTCCTGCTAAATTTACAACACATGAAATAAAGTGCTCTGATTAAATATTTGAAGGAGAAATCTGGTTGTGGGGCTGAGATTAAGGTTTACAGTCCACCATCTCTCTAGGAAGTCAGCTGCCATTGGAAACCTCAGGGAACATCAGAGGTTTGGTAAAGAACATATGTCTTAACAGGCTAACAACAAAGGATGTAGAGACTTTGTTCAAGTAATTCAGAGAGCTGCTGACTGTAGTGCAGGAGATATTTTATATATAAACTGTCAAAAGACTGCTGATAAAGCAGCAGCTGAAGATGTGTTTAGGAGATGGAAGCACGAAGATGTGTGTATGTAATTGGTTTAGGAAGAGAAGATGGTGAATATTACTGAGAGCACATTCTCCTGACAGGACAGTCAGACTGGAATATGTCATGTGCTCTCCTCAGAATAGATATCAGCAGCGTTGCTTTTCTTGTTATATATAGATGGCCTAGACTTGGAACAAGGGAGTAAAACTGCAAACTTTGTGAATCATACAAAAACGTTGCGATTTAGTGACAGCAGAAAATTCTGGAAATACAGTACTCAGTAGGTCAGGCTGCATCAGTGCAGAGAGAAATAGAGTTAATGCTTCAGCTTTGTACTGAAAGGTCATTGGACTGAAACATTAATTCTGATTCTCGCTCCACAGATGCTGTCTGATGCAGTGAATACGTCCCGCATTTTCTCTTTTCATTTCAGAATTCCAGCACCCGCAATATTCTGTATTTTTATTCATAATGTAGTGACTGTAAGTAGGATGATTACAGACACCAGGAAGACACACGTCCTGTGCAAACACACAGCAGAGACAACTTGATGTTCACTGTCATCAGAATGGAACCATGTTGAGGGGTTGGAAGAGCAGAGGAAGCTGGGGGTCCATGTTGCCAAATCTTTGAAGGTAGCGCAAGTTGACAAAGTGAGCAAATGTACACACCACTGATTTGTAAATCAGGGAGTTAAGTGTGAAAAGAAAGAATCATGTTAAACTTTTACTCACTAATTAGAATCAAGCTGAATATTGTCTCATGTTTTCAGCAGCACACTTGAAGGAAGATGTGAGAGGGAGCAGTAGGGATTTACTAAATGGTACCAGGGTTGAGGAATCTTTGAAAAGAGGGAGACCTGAGAAGCTGGGATTGTTTTCCTCAGGCCAGAGAGGTTTAAGGGGAGAGTCAATTGAGGTGTTTGGGACAGGAGGTTGAAATGAGGACGGATTTATGTAAAGCAAATAAGGAGTAACTATTTCCTCTGGTCAATGAATTGGTAAAAAGAGGTCGTAAAATTAAGACCACTGCCAAAAAAAAACTAGTGCTGAACCAAGGGGAGATGTAGCTTGTTACAGCTAGAATTCTTGACCTGAAAGGATTGTGAGAAGTGGAATTGAAAATGCAATCAGACATAATCCACCTGAAGGAAACAAATGTGTGAATTTTTCAGGGACATCTAGGTTGTGAGATGAAATTTGATATCTCCTTTAAAAAGCCAAACAGCACAAGAGGCAGAATGATACACATGCACAGAGCTACTGGGTACTGTGAGCAGCTTTACAGAAGGAGAGGAGCAGACCACATATTTTTAATGTCATTTGGTCTGTAAGCTGAAATGGAAGTTGGACTGATTTATTTGACAAACTGGGACGTTTGACAATTTGAAAACTAAGTGTTGAATATTGATGAGCTGTGCCGTACACTGTTGCTTTTTGGAAGCAAAAAGAGAGGAATGTCGAGTTTGAACAGTGTACAGAATTCCTGAGTTAAAGAAATTCTACCTGGCAACAGCTGTTTCATTGGGTGTTAAAAAGCTGTCAATTATCAAGAGTGGAAAATATCCAAAGCCTGCAGACACATGGAATCCTCCCTCGCTCTCTCTCATTCTGTGCAAAGGAAATCCAAGAAAGTTTAAAAAGAACAAATTCTTACGAGAAGTGATCTAAGATCACCTGATCACCCATCGAATTGAAGGATGACATAACCGTATAGACAACTGTGGCCTATGTTTGCAAACCTCAAGAGGACTGTGAGAGAAAAAAACCTTATACCTTGTGGTCTGGACTTTTGATCAGTAGAATTTTGCTCTCCCTGTCTGTATTCTTTATCCAGCCACAGTATCTGTGTAAAATCATTTGACTTTTGTCTGTCTTCATTGTGATTGAGTTTGTGTGTGTTTGGGGTTTTGAAGGGGTAGGTTGGATCAAATAATAAATCTATTCTTTTCTGCTCTTGTTAAAGTTAGGTGTGTTACAAAAAAAAGGATGATTTTTACGAAAGTAACCTGGTCTGAATTGTTTATGTCCTGAGTAGCAGTTAGTCAGGTAAATGTGTCATCCTGGTGGTCTTGTTGAGTTTTGATACATTTCATGATGGAATGTGGAACTGTTGGGAATGATTATTCATACATTCCACCCAGTGACAGCAGGAAGATAGGAAGCAGCTGACTGGGAGCGAATGGTAGAAATATTTGTGTACTCACAGGACTTCCTTTTGGACCATCATCCCCAGGAGGACCTTTAGGACCTGGAGGTCCAGCAGCACCAGATGGTCCAGATTCACCTTTCTCGCCTCGTTCACCTTTAGGTCCCTGCACAGCACCAAGAAAACTCTTTACTTGTAAAGAATAAGACAAAGCATGAGCTGTATGCCTTTCCAACCTGATTACAATTAACATGCCAATACACAGGAATTAGAAACAGGAGTAGGCCACTCAGCCCATCGTGCCTGCTCTGCTATTCAATAAGATCGTGGCTGATCTGATTACTCTGCATTCATGTTTAGCACCAATAACTCAACACCCCATTGTTTATCAAGAATCTATCCACCCCTGCCTTAAAACATTCAAAGACTCTGTTTCTAATCTCTTTTGAGGAAGTGAGTTTCAAAGACTCATGAGCTTCTGAGAGAGAAGAACCTAAACTGATTTATTTTTCTTCTGCATTCTCTCACACGGGAAACATCCTCTCCACATCTACCTCCTCAGGACCCCTCAGGGTCCAATAAATTTCAATAAGATCATTAGACCAGAAGTTGTGGGTGCAAGAGGAGGCCTTTCAGCCCATCGAATCTGCTTTGCCATTCAATGACGTCATGGCTGACCTGATAATCATCAACTCCCACTTTCCTGCCTTTTCCCCATAACCTTTGGCTCTATGACTGATTGAAAATCTGTCCATTTTAGCCTTGAATATGCTTAATGATCCAGCCTTGACAGCTCTCTTTGACTCAAGTCACCTCTTATTTTTCTGACCTCCAGTAGATACATGCCAACCTTATCTAATTTTTCCTTAGAAAATGATCCTCCCTTACTAAATAACAATCTGGGAAACCGCAGAACTGCTTCCACTGAACTGACATCCTTCCTTAAATAAAGAGATCAATACAGGTCACAGTACTACAGATGTGGTCTCACTAGTGCCCTGTATAATTTAAACATAAGCTCTGTACTTTGTATTCTATTCCCCTTCTAATAAATGATAACACTCTAATAGCTTTCATGATTACTTGCTGTACCTGCAGACTAACCTTTTGTAATTCATGTTCTAAGACACTTTCTATCTGAGAGCTCTGCAATCAATTATGACTGAGATAAAATGCTCACTTTTTACTCTTTGTGCCAAATGGCCAATTTAACATTTCCCCACATAATACTCCATTTGTCAGACCTTTGTCTACTCACAATCTATCTTATAAAGCTATTTAGCTTCCTTATGTCCACTTCTGAACTTATTCTCCCATCCAGCCTTTGGCCTTGCACAGTGCAATCTCCCTCCACATTCCCGTTTGGAACATATTCATTTTGACTCATTGAACAAGAACAAGAACAAGACAGCGAAAGAAGGGGAGGGTTGCTGGGGATAGAGGGGTCAGGATACCTGGGCAGAAGAGGAGTCAGTTCTGTTATACAGACCACTGAGACACATACTGGAACTCTTCAAAGGACAACAAGTCAATCACTTACTGGCATTCCCAAATATCCTGGAGGTCCTGGTGCTCCTGCCTCTCCAGTGTCACCCTGGAGCAGAAACAGAGGGTTAGTGAAATATAGAAACTACCAAGACTATAACAGCTAATCCTAGCAGGGGGTGTGGGGCTGAATGGTTAATGTATTAGGTTCAGTTTAATTGAAGTAGCAACAGATCAGGAAAAAACAGCATATAGTGAGTTCAAGATCCAGCACCAATACAGAACACTCCCAAACTTGTATGGAGGGAGCTCCAAAATATCGGAGGGTTGGTGCTGAGGGAGCACTGCACTGTTGGAGGGTCAGTGCTGAAGGAGAGCTGCACTGTTGGAGGGTCAGTGCTGAGGGAATGCCGCACTATCAGAGGGTCAGTGCTGAGGGAGCGCTGCACTGCTGGAGGGTCAGTGCTGAGGGAGTGCCGCATTGTCAGAGGGTCAGTGCTGAGGGAGAGCTGCACTGTTGGAGAGTCAGCGCTGAGGGAGCGCCGCACTGTCAGAGGGTCAGCGCTGAGGGAGCGCCGCACTGTCGGAGGGTCAGTGCTGAGGGAGCGCCGCACTGTCGGAGGGTCAGTGCTGAGGGAGTGCCGCACTGTCGGAGGGTCAGTGCTGAGGGAGTGGGCACCGTCGGAGGGTCAGTGCTGAGGGAGTGGGCACTGTCAGAAGGTCAGTGCTGAGGGAGTGGGCACTGTCGGAGGGTCAGTGCTGAGAGAGTGGGCACTGTCGGAGGGTCAGTGCTGAGGGAGAGCCGCACTGTAGGAGGGTCAGTCATGTCACTTTTCATTTTCCATTAGGATCGGAATGCAGAGTAAAATACATTGCAAACAATTACTCTCCAGTTAACACTGACCCTCACAGGTATCTGTAAGCAATGCCTAATGCAATACATCAGTGTGTTGTGGTGAATTCATGTTCACTGCTGCTCAGTCACATTAAAGAGCTCCTCCTCCAGAACCCACAGCCAATCACATTGTTTAGTTTGAAAACAGAAACAGAATGCAGACAGTACCTTCTGGCCCACAGCTCCTGGGTTTCCAACTCCGCCTGCAGGACCTTGTGGACCCTAAAATGCAAACAATACATTGGAGATTACGGCACAACAAAGGAGCTGTTTAGAGGACCGACTTCCGTCTGGGTTCCTCAAAAATGACATTCTAAATACACATTCCTTCAACAGCTGTGGCTGGTTCTATCTCTAGTCAGGCGAATGCAATGTCGCCATTTGTTAATATAACAGCTGTTAAATAAACAGTAACATGTGTCATTTCCAGTCTCTCCCCCACTTCAAACACCATGTGATTCTAGTCAGGGTAATGTTTGTAAATCTAAATTCTTTGAGACTGTTGTTTTTGAAACTTATATACAGTCTCAAAATCTTTCCCTTTGTTGATCTTAACACTCACTCTGAAAAACCAATTTGCTCAAGTTGTTACATTAAATAAACATGAGGATCACGGGGCACGAACCACCAGGATTCCCAGCTTTCTGCTTCTCTCAGCTGAGGGCCTAGTGGGTACTTCACTGGACAAGTAATCCAGAATCAGGCTAATGAACTCGGATCATAAGTTCGAATCCCACTACAGCAGATGGTGAAATTGATCTTCAGTAAAAGTCTGGAACAAAAAAATTGATTTAAAGGTGACCTTGTGATCACTGCCAATTGTCATTAAAACTGCTCAGGTTCACTAATGTCCTTTATATGGTTACTTAATATCCTTACCCAGTCTGGCCTACATGTTATTCCAGATGCACAGCAATATGGTTGACTCTGAAATAACCGAGCAAGACACTCAAAGGGTAATTAGAGATGGACAACAAGAGCTGGCCTCACCAGTGATGGTCACGTCCCAAAAATGAACAAATAAAACAATTTGGATGGTTAAATGGTTCACAAAATTTGTCTCAGTGCTATCCATTGATGCCAGGACAGATATAACATGGGGTTAGATACAGGGTAAAGCTCCTTCTACACTGTCTACTTCAAACACTCCCAGGACACGGACAGCACGGGGTTAGATACAGAGTAAAGCTCCCTCTACACAGTCTCTATCAAACACTTCCAGGACAGGGAGAGCACAGGTTAGATACAGAACAAAGCTGTCTCTACTCTGTTGAACATTACAGAGTCTGTCCTTCTCCCAATCTCCTGCCTTACTTCTCATTTGCAATATTTGGTTATTTCTGTGACCTGGTTCTCTCTGGGCTATCTGTGTTACTCATTGACAGAGACGCTGCCACATTGTTTGAACGAGGTTCCGACTTAACAAGAAGCTAAGTGTTTTACTGTGAGTGAACATTGGTGCATGTCTGTATCTCTGAGTAGCTATCAGCTTGCAGCCAAACTGCATTTGCTGCATGTGTAAACAGATCACTGCAGTATGGTGGGGAACCTGAGAAGTGAATGATGGAGACAGAGAGAAGGGTATGCTGATTTGCTGAGATATAGAGGGTGGGAGCAGACAGGTCTGCACCGATCAAGTGGGTCACATGATTATATCGGTGTCCCCGGGGACTTTGTATTGTGTTGAAATGGGCACCAAAACTCAATGAAGGACAAACCTTGGAGCAAAGTCTCACCATGTGATTTAACTCAATTCGTCCAACTGTTACATCAAATGGGAAAAGTGTAAATTGAGAAACATATTGTTTTCCTTTCAATGGGATTGATATAACAGGCTGCAAAATAAACTCTCAATGGCCCTAGAACCCTCTGCATTATCTGTGTTCCTTCAATTCTGGCTTTGATTTCCATCAACCCATCATTAGCCTTTAGTTCCCTGGATTCTAACATCTGGAATTCCCTCCCTAACTCTCACCATTTCCCACTCCTCCGTTAGGATGCTCCTTAAAACAAAGGTCATTGATCAGGTTTTGGGGTCACATGCCAAATTCTGAAGCTGGTTTTGCCTCCTCCTGTGAGCTGTGGAACATTTAACTCCATGGAAGGTTCTATATAAATGTACAATGTTGTAAAATTGAATGGATGAGCTGTCAAAACATTCAGCACAATGTTGGGATTGATGCAAAAAGGTTTTGAATTCCAGCAAGCCATGTTTTCTGTTACACATTGCCAGTACAGTTAGAGAGCAGGGTAAACCATTCAAAAGGATGAACACTTACATCTGCCCCTGGTGCACCAGATGGGCCTCTGGGTCCTGGAGGCCCAGGGGGACCCTGCCAATGGAAACATTAGATAATCAATCACATTATCATCATCACCACATTCCAAAATACACGCACAAACAAATCCACAGTGAAGTCATGAAGCTTGTGATGGAAACAACACACAAACTCTCATAAACACAGACACAGACACACACACAGTTTCTCTCACATACCCACTCGCGCGCGTGTGCGCGCACACACACACACACACACACACAGTCTCTCCTCTCTCTCTCTCACACTCACACACACACTCTCTCTCTCTCACACACACACACTCTCTCTATCACACGCAGACACATACACACACACACACACACACACACACACACACAGAGTCTCTCTCACACACAT